TCACAGGCTTATGTTTCACTGCCTTAGGAGATACCGTGACATCTAGACCTACTTCCAGTACCTTAAGTGTCAGAAATCTGCTACACAGCTCCCCCGTAACTGCTGTTGTGCTATGGGCTCAGTCACAATTCAGAATGATGACCTGAAGCATTGACCTCTGCTTTAGGGATTTTGTGGTTTTCCTCTCACCAGAAAGGAACATCGCAGTCGTCTAGCCTGACCTCTTGTTACATGCAAACTAACACCTAGTAATTCCTCTAGCAAGCACATTACTGTTGCTGTTTTGGCCCTGACACAGAACTGTTTCAAGACTCCAGGCTTATCTTAAAGCTATAACTGCTGAAATTGCGGTAATCCTCTGTTTGAGCAGAAGACACAGCTGTTGCCTCAGTTTCTCCTAACAGGTGTGCAATTTGAGAAGGTATAGATATCTGGCCTTCCTTCATGACATATGAAGTTTTGAATACAGAATAAAGCACTCTACTGCTATATATTAGGCCTGCCTACATCTCTATTCATGCAGGCTAAGATCTTCCAAATCACTTACTTTGCGAATACAGCCTGCAAACAAGTTCCTCTGCGGTCCTTGCCTTACATGCCAAAACAACATGCAGTGGCACTTTCAACTTCAAATTCTGCTTCTCTCATCTCAGACAGAGAAGATTCTTTCCTTCTGCTTTCAACTGATTTAACTCTTTTAGCCTCAGTGTGGATCTTGTCTGTAAATTGTTACCTGAAGATTTCATCCTCTCTGGGATTCCTGTCTGGCCCTGTCTCAAGCCCTTTTCCTACAGCCTCTCTGGAGCCATTTTTCCGGATCCCACTTAGCAGGAACAGCTCCTATTTTTAGGCTGCGTCTGTATTCTAAGCACAGAGGAATGTGACTGCGAGTGGAGCTTGCTGGGAAGAGAAGAAACGGTCTAAGGGTATGTGCGTACTGCAGTCACAGGAGGGCTGCAGCACTGCGTTACCAATAGCCCAGCAAATTTTAAACGGTATGAGATGTAGCTCATTAGGAATCTATCTGCAGCACCATGGGGTTCAACAGGGGCTGATTTCTCCTCACTCTCACAAATAAACTGTCAAAGCTAGGGTATGTATTCTAGGTGCATCTTTGCTACAATGCAGTTATCTCTACGACCGCAGCGTATGGTCGTATCGGCAATCTTTTGCTTCTTCCGAGCACCATAAAGCACAATGCTTTATTTTAAAGGGTCTCCGGCCAATACGAATACCACCAGCATGTATCCGTCTCGAAGGGCAGCGCGATCTTTTCAAGGGTGAGGAGGAGTTGCTAGTTTTAGAACCGTCTTTGTCAGCAGCACGGACAGGATGGTGACTCATAACTCCAGGCACCTGGCTTGTGCACAGCCGAAACCCTTCGCCCTCGGGGTGAGCACAACAGGAAGCGTTCGACTGCCTGTCTATCTACGGCCAGGAAAAGCCAGCCGCCTGGTGCAGGCCGCGCCGCCG